TTACCGGGCCAAGTCAATTTCCCTGTCTGTGAGCAGGCAGTTGGGATAAGTGTGTTTAGAAGTCTCTTCCAGTGTCCACATTCACTGCTTCTTCATCAGTTCTGAGAATAACCCACAGCTAAGAAAAACATAGTTAATAAATCTGTACCTCATTAAGGTGGATATACTTAAAATGAAGAAATTATTCAATAATATTCTAAATCAAACTCTTTCCATCACTTTCAGTTTACACGCCCTTAAGGATGAGATGTTTACCAGACAGTCGTTTGTTCGCCAGTTTGTAACACTTTCCGATGCCTACTTCAATTACCACGTATGTAACTATTTTAGATACTCTTTGCCCCTTTTGAACACTCCTGTTGGTACCTTTCTGTCGTGCAACTTCTCAAGTGGGTCTTTCCATGTGCATTCATGGGGTGCATATAGATATATAAAAGCTTAGTTACAGTTACCCTACCTGACCTCCTCTCTGAAGGGAGAAAGGAGTGGAGGGAGCAGTCCCTGGGACCAAGACTTTGGAAAGGAGGAAAACTGGAGGCAACTCATCAAGGAAACACAATTAAGCATCTCTCTAATAACCTAAATTTTTGAGACTGTGAAATTGAAAGCTTCTAAGTGTAGAAGTTTGTTCAGTCAATTTCAGTCAAATAGTCAATTTAGAAATATTCATAAGACATAGGATCATAGAAGGGACCTTTGAATTCATCTGGTCCAGCACCCCCATTTTACAATTTAACAAACTGAGGCCCAGAGACAGAGATTTACCCAAAGTCACACAGGTAGTAAGAGCAGAATTTGAACCTGGTACCCCTGACCCTGGCACTCTTCCTGATATACCATACTGCCTCCTTTGTGTGAGGTATGTTCCTGTTCCTCACAAGAACATGGAGGTGATGCTTGATTCATGGAATCTATCCCAGTGGAACAAAAGTTCTACAAATTTTCACCATGCTGGAAAAGCTTTAATGACAATTCCAGCAACAGACTTTGCTTTATAGCTAAATAGAGGGAAGTTTGTCACCAGCAGGCTGGCCACTTGGCAGTGAATTATATGGCCATGGCAACCCATTAAAAATGCCCTGGGTAATTCCCATCTGTTTCTACAGTAATGGTAGCAAAGTAGCAGAAAAAGGGAACAAGATGGTACTCAATAAAAATCATGTTTTTGGCACAGTGCCTTGGACATGGTACACACTTAATAAATGACCTTTGACTTGACTGTTTAACATTCACTTAGCTGGTGGTTTTCTAAATATGGGGTCCTTGTCCAATGAATGACATAGAGGAAATGAGTCATATCAGTCTTGCCGTCATTTGACCAACAAGAACTTGCACCTCCAACAGATCGTAGACTTGTAGAATTAGAACTGGAAATGATATTAGAGTTCATCTAGAGACCATCTAGTTCTCTTCTTTTAAAGGTGAGGAAACTGAGCCCTAGAGAGATGAAGTACCTTCCTCTAGGTGATCCAGGGCGTAAGTGGTTGAATAGGGTTTCAAATCTGGGTCCTCTGACTCTAAATTTAACACACTCACAGATCCTCCATTGCAGAGGCAAATAAGACCCTGATGTCGGTAAAGATTGAAGGCTAAAGGAAAAGGAGACAGCAGAGGATGAGATGGATAGATAGTGTCGTGGAAGCAATGGATATGAGCTTGGAAAGACTTAGAAAGAAAGTGGGAGATAGAAGGGCCTGGAGTGCTATGGTGCTTGGGGTCATGAAGAGTTGGACACAACTGAACAACAATAAAAAATCAATGGTGTCAAACTCAAATAGAAATGGGGGCCACTAATTGTTACATCAGGATATCTGTGGACTACATATCGACTTAGTTTTAAAATGTAATAATATTATCCAGTTTTATTACATTTTCATATATTTTCTCAAGTATTTCCCAATTACATTTGAATCTGGTTTGGGCTGTACTCAAGTATAGACTGAGAGTTTGACACCTGTGATCCAGATGATAGTACAGTTAGTTGTATTCAGAACTGGTTGAATGAATAAGCTATAGGTAGACAACAGCGTGAGTGCAAAAGGTCCAGTACTCCAAGTAGACAGCAAATTTAACCTGTATCTTTAATGTGAGATGGGAGCTACAGAACTTTCCTTATCTGGAGTGCTTCAGTTATCTTAAAGAAAGGTTGTGCCCTTAGAAAGCCTTTCCTCAATGCCTCAACATGGTGAGGTTGTGACCCTGGTTTCTCAAAGGCTATACCAGTGGGGCAAAAACTTTTGTAGGGTTATATACTGTGCTAAAAAAAAAAAAAGCTTTCAGTATAATCCCAGTAAAGGATTGAATACTTTCTGGGTACAGAAAGGCTCATTACCAACAGGCAGCCCACTTGGTGATGGATTCTTTGGCCATGGCAACCCATGAAAAGAAAAATATAAAAAGTCCTTATTTCTCTGCTGCCCCCTTCCACTTTTGCAGCAGTAGGAGCAGAATAGCTAAAAAAGAGGGTGCTAAAAATGACACATTCCTTGTGACAAATCTCTGTGGCAAAGCAAAACAAATTCCCACATTGGTTGTGTCAGAAAACGTGTCTCATTCTGCATCTCAGGAGGTGGGTGGCAAGCTTCATCATAGGTCCTCTGGAACTGTAATCGGTTAGTCATTGCATTGATCAGAGTTCTCCAGTTTTGCAAAGTAGTTTTTCTTTATAATGTTGTTATTATAGAAATTATTCTCCCAATTTTGTTCCCTTCTCTCTGTATCAGTTCATATAGGTCTTCCTAGATCTTTTCCATGCCAGTAGATGACTATGGACATGCAGTCATGCATGGCTCTTCTATGTTCATTCATTTTCTGTTTCCCAAGTAAAGGACAATATTTAATCTAGAGTTGCCTTAACTTTAGTACTGCTTGGTAAATTAAATTAAATTTGGTACATTAAATTAAAAATCAATCACTCTTGTCTTAGTACTCCTGTATCAGATGTCATTTTAAACAGTATTAAAGTATTTCATTTCCTTTAACATATGACCGAATGGTTAGACTTGTCTCTGCTTTGGTAATTTTTCTTCACAAACTCTTATATTCATCAGCTAAGTGTGAATGCCCAGTTAGGAGATAAATTAGTTGGTTGCTGTTAAGATTTAGAATTTAAAACATCACATTATAAGTTAATCATATTATATCTTTCTCAAGAACCCTATAGTCAGTCAGAGGCATAACTTCAGAAATACAAATACCAGATACCTTGACCAAATCCGCCAAACAGTGTTTTGTATAGCCTGTCAGAAGACTCGTGGATGTGAAAAGTAAGCTTGAGGAGAGAGGAGAGGTTTTTAGGTCAAACAGTCAATCAGCAGGCATTTATGAAAACTCTGTTATGTACCAGGTACTGTGTCAAGGTCAATTGACCAGCTGAAAAGGGAAGTGAAAGGCACCTGACTTATTAGATTTAAGTTGGCTACGGTCCCAGCTCCAATGTATGCTCCCTCAGGATGTGGGGCTACTCCCAAGTCCCATGTGACTGCTGTTTTTCAAGCTCCTGCTAGGGAGATCACTACCTCTAACTTGGAATCCACTTTGCTGAGGCTGGAATTCTGGGGAAACTAACTGCCCATGCAGAGGCACAGTTGTTCAGTTTTGTTCTATAACAGTTTTTTTATGTCCACTGTAATTGGAAGTTTGAAGGGATCACAAATGGACAGATGTCATTTCTTTGAAAATTCTACATGGTTTCTTGTCATCATTTTATATGAATTATGTGCAATTTTCACAATTCAACAAATAGTAAGCATCTGCTGTGTGCAAAGACTGCCAGGTGGTGCAAAGAATAGAGTACCGGGCCTGGAGTCAGGAAGATCTGAGTTCAAATCTGGCCTTAGACACTTACTAGCTGTGTGACCCTGGGCATGTCACCTAAACCCTATTTGCCTCAATTCCTCATCTGTAAAATGGGGACACGCTGGAGATGGAAATGGCAAACCAGTCCAGTCAAGAAAAACTCACGAGTTGGACACAACTCAACAACAACAAGGACAACAATGACATCAACTGTGTGAAAAGTACACTATACTAAGGAGCATGTACAAAACACTGCCCTGGCCCTCAGGGAGTTTACCAAATACCAGAATAATGACGCGTAGATAGTTAAAAGTCTGGAGTTATCATAAAGAATGGAAGAGGTAAGGAATAGGAATTTCATATTGCTCTGCTGTGCTTGTCTTTCAGTGTGTGATGTTTGTAGTCATTTGGTGTGTGTGCTGCTGTTTCTGAATCCCAACAAGTAGCAATTTCATTTTTTTTCACTGTGATCCCAGGGATATGGAACTGGTTTGGGTGCAGCTTCCTGGGGCCTGGATCTTACTACAGAATGAGTCTAAATTCTGGCAGCTACAAGAGGTTTCCTAAGGCTCCCAGGATGACTTAAAAACAATTTCAAAGTAGAGGAAACATGTGTGCATAGCTCTGTGTGTGTGTGTGTGTGTGTGCTTGCGTCTTTTTTTTTGTATTTTTTTTTTTTTAGGCAATTGGGGTTAAGTGACTTGCCCAGCGTCACACAGTATGTCTTTAGATGAGGTAGTATGTCTTATCTAAACTTTGCATGTTGCCCTAATGCAGTGTACTTTGAATGCAGCAGATACTTAATGACGGTTGAATTGTGAGTATTGTGTATAATCCATATAAAATAAGGACAAGAAACGATGTAAGACTTTCAAAGAAGCAGAATCTGTCTCGTAATCCTTCAAATTTCAAATTTCCAGTGGCCATGAAAATACTCTTATGAGCAAAACGAATTTTTCTTGTTTTTCTTTTCTGAACAGTTGGCACAAGAAGGAAATAACAGTATGTTTGAGCTAAGCTATCAATCCAAGGGGACATCTGCCAGCTCCTATCAAGGCAGACCTAGTACAGTCCTACCACTCATTTCTCTGTTCCTCGACTCCTAAAGAATATTTTGCGTGGATTGTTAGTCTCATTCACAATGCTGATCTGCCATGCTCATTCTGCTTACTAACCCAATGTCTTCTTTCCATTTTTTGTGCATTCTAGAAAGCAAAGCCCTTATACATACAGCCAAAACGTGTCCCATCAGTGAAAGAAAGGCCATATCAACCTACAGTTTTGGTAAGAAGATTTATCTTTTTTAGATCTCTTAAAAAATTCAATAACTATTGTTCAGTCTTAATAACGAAATATTTCCCTACAGCCCCGTCTAGACAGCAGTAGTCATTCTCAAATCAGTGACGACTTTTTAATCTTTTCAATGCCCACTACATCAAGAGGTAAGAATTTTTATGTACCCTCTAAAGATTTTTCATCTGCTCATTACGATGCAATTAGCATGCAAGTAAGTGGTGCTGTGATAGATCTCAGGATCTGGAATGAGATACATCTCAGTTCAAATCTGCCGGCAGACTTTACTAGCTATGTGACCCTAGGCAAGTCATTGAAACCTGTGTCTACCTCAGTTTCCTCATCTATAAGATGGGGGTGATTATAGCACTTACCTCCTAGGATTGTTGTGAAGATCAAATGAGATAATGTATGTAAAGTGTTTTGCAAACTTTGAAGCATTTTATAAAGGGTAGCTATCATCATCAGGATCGTTATTATTGTTATCATTATTTCAGGGACAGAAATGCTAAAGAGAGCAATATAGAATGCTAGACATTTCTCTTTGTTCACTGAAATCAGAGTTAGCCCCTCTACACAGTAAGACACTGTCCCATCTGGAGTTTACCCATTCTCCTTTTGTGGTTAAATATTTGTTGTGGAGTCATTTTAGTTGTGTCCAACGATTGCTGACCCCATTTCGATTTTCTTGGCAAAGATACTGGAGTGGTGTGTCATTTCCTTCTCCAGTTCATTTTATAGATGAGGAAACTGTGGCAAACAGAGTTAAGTGACTTGCCCAGGGTCACACAGCTAGTGAGTGTCTGAAGCCAGACTTGAACTCAGGTAGCTGCTCCTTTGCAATCTTACTTCCATTATTGTTATTTATCCTGGCTACTGATAAACTTACTATATGGACTAGAAGGAAGGGGGTAGTCAAGGGGACCAAAACAAGATGCAGTTGTAACACAGTGAGTTACTTCACTTTTCTGTGCCTCAGTTTTCTCATTTGTAAAATGAGGGGATGAAGCTAGATAAATTCTGAGATCCCTTCTAAGCTCTAAGGTTCTCATGCTATGATCACTGAAGGAACCAGATGACTGCATGTGCTCCATGGCATCACACAAACCTTGGGGTCTTCAAGCTGATGTTTTTGTAGGTTCTGGCTACCGTACTAAAGAAAATAATCTTCTTAGTAAATGTCTTTTCTATTTGCTCCTGAAAAGCCTTTAGAGGGTAATAAAGGATCTATTGGAAAGTTCCATATACATATATGTTGTATCAGATGATGCAATAGTACATTGCAGTACTGTGAAGGGCCTCTGATTTCATGGATGTGGGTTTTCCTTTCAAAAGTATGGATCAAAATCCATCCATGCCCCCTCAGCCTATGAGACTCTGCTCTGTGCCTTCCCATGAATCATTTAGAGAAGATCCATTGAACATGATAGAAGCCTTTCTCTGGGTCCCAATGTCATACCAATTCATCCCATTTCCTAGTCCTATACTGCCTTTATTATGTGGTTGCTTTTCAGTCACCTTATGTAATGCTACTGGCTATTTATACCTACTGTTTATCTCCCTGTTGCCCTTCAATTATGATTGGCAACATGAAATTTTGGTGCTTTGTTGACTATTGTGTTCCATGATTTTAAGCCAGACAAAATATCCAGAAGAATATTAGTATTTACAGGTTTTTGTTTCAAGGTAGAATTCAGCTTGGAATTTCTGAAAACTCTGCCATGTTCCCAAGTACAACACGGTTAGCCATCCAGGTGGCATAGTGAATAGAGTGCTGGATTTAGAGCCAAGAAGACCTGAGTTCAAATCCTGCCTTATATGATGCTTATCAGTTGTATGACCTTGAACAAGTCTTTTAACCTCTCTCACCCTCGGTTTTCTTGTGTATGAAATGGGGACAATTCTAGTACCTATGTTCTCCAGTTTTTTGAGGAGCAAATGAGATAATATATGTAAAGTGCTTTTGAGCCTTAAACTGTTAAATAAATGCTAGCTATTATTATTGTTAACCCCGTTTTACCTCTTCATTTCTGGGCCGAGCTCAGTCTTCATCTGCAGCACCTGTCTATTGCTGCTACTATATTATCATTAGCTGCTCTTCATATAACACTTTAAGTTTTTGCATACATTTTTTTTCATTTGATCCTCACAACTACCTTTTGAGGTAGATGATGCAATTACCTGCATTTTATAGATGAGAAAACTGAGACAGAGAGGTTAAGCAATATAACTAGTAAGTATATAATAGGATTTGAATTCAAGTCTTTCTGACTCCAAATCCAGCACCTTTTCCATGACACCACCTCGCTGCTTTAAGATACAAACATTTGTGGACTCCCTCAATGGGTTGACTAAGGAGTGTCTGTCATATTCTGGGGTTAAATGCACCAGCACATCACCATTCACAAAAAGGAATCTCTCTCTCTCTTTTTTTTTTCATCTCACTGTTTGCCTCTCCCAGGCTTTCTTTTTTTTTTTTCTTAATTTATTTTGAGTTATCAACAATCACTTCCGTAACCTTTTGAGTTTAAAATTTTTCTCCTCCTCCCTCCCTACCCCCCTCCCCAAGATGGTGTGCAGTCTGATATAAGCTATACATGTACATTCTTATTAAACATATTTTCACATTAGTCATGTTGTAAGGAAGAATTAGAACCAATAGAAAGAATCACAAGAAAGAGGAAACAAAACAAAACAGAAGAAAAAAAAGAGCAAATAGTATGCTTCGATCTGCATTCAAACTCTATAGTTCTTTCCTTGGATGTGGGTAGCATTTTCTATCATGAGACTTTTGGAGATGTCTTATATCCTTGCATTGCTGAGAAGGGCTAAGTCTACCAATGTCAGTCCTCACACAACACGGCTGTTACTGTGTACAGCATTCTCCTGGTTCTGCTCACTTCACTCAACATCAGTCCATACAAGTCTTTCCAGGTTTTTCTGAAGTCTGCCTGCTCATCATTTCTTATAGCACAATAGTAAGGAATATCTCTTTACATGAGGTCTTTGAACTTATTTTTAAATATTTTGATAACTATTTCAATAGAATTAGTTTCATTTGTAATCTACGTATTTTAGTTTATTCCTTCAAAAATATTATTGTGAAAAGTGATCCATAGGCTTCACCAGACTGCCCAAGGTTTCAATGATACAAAAAGATATCTTTGATCTATAATATAAAGAATTCCTCTTCCATTTGAACTGCACTAAACACCCTCCATGATCATGATATTCCTCTCTTAAAAGTATAATCTAGTATAGCACATATTTATTTTACTTTGAGAGCTTTTGTCCCCCTCTGAAGAATTTCCTAACTAACCTTGGGATAATTGGCACCATCCTGGAGTATTGCAGAACCAAACCTGAGAATCACCAGCTTCAGCTTTCTGACCAAGTCAAGTCCAAGTGGCATTTCATCAATCAGTTTCCAGTAGTTTCCACCAAAAAAATTAGGGTGGATAGTATCATGTGTGTTTTAGGCAGGATAGACTGTGATGTCCTGGAAAGTGAACTGGCTTAGACATCTAGACACTTGGGTCTTTATTCTGGCCCTGAATATCTCTGTGACCTTTGGCAAGTCAGTTAATCATCATCAAACATTTATGAATCCCCTTGCTACTTGAGAGATAATGACTTCCCCTTCCCCATCTAAATGGTGTGTGTTGGAGATTAAAGAAGATAAAAATGAGAATAATATTGTACTTCTCAAAAATAAATTTGTCGTCTGCATTCAAAGGAGAGATAGGAACATCTGCTTGGGGGCTTTGATTGTTTCGTCACTTAAACCTTTGTTTAGATCCTTTTTGGTATCTGAGATGGAAATGCAAAAGAATTTTGAATCTTAACAGTCATGTTTCTTAGAATGGAAAAGGGGGGATTTAATTTCCTTAGTTCACAAATGTCTCTTGTTAAATAGATGCCCCTTCTTTCTTTGTTGCCACTCTATCATTTTCCAGAACATAACATTCTTGCCTTTTAGCCCCAGAGATTCTTTGCACGCTGAACACATTCTTTCAGAAAAATATATAAGTATAAGCACTTGAGTAAGCCGTAGATATTTCATAAATAGAATTGACACATTGTAACCAATAATAATAGCTCACATTTATATAGTGCCTACCGTGTGTCAAGCACTGTGCTAGGCACTTTGCAAATATTATCTCATTTTATCCTCACAACAACCCTGGGAGGTAAGTGCTATTATTACCCCCATTTTACAGATGAGGAAAATGAGGCAAACAGAGGTTAAGTGACTTGCCCAGGGTCACACAGCTAGCAAGTATCTGAAGCCAGATTTGAACTGAGGTGTACCTCTATCCACTGTACCGTCTAGCTGGCTACTGATTGTATATGAGGAGTGGGGAGAATAGTGATGGATATAGGAAAGTTGAGAGAAGAAGAAGGGTTTTTTGGGGGGATGGATAGAGGTGTTGAAGATGTTGAGTTCAGTTTGGGTCATGTTGAGTTTACCGTGGTAGAAGAACATTCAAGTGGAGATATCAAGTAGATAGTTGGGAATGAGGCATGAGGAGTGAGAGAGACAGAGAAAGACAGAGAGAGAGAGAGGGATTTAGGTCTGGAAGTAAGTCACCTATGTAGAGATCATGGTTGAAACCATGGAAGTGTATGAAATTATGCAATAATAAGAGTATAGAGAGAAAACAGAAGCAGGCTGAGGGCTGTGGCCTTGGACTATGCCCAAACAGAGCCAATGGAAGAGGCTGCGAAGGAATATTCAGAAAGATTAGGAAGAGAGCCAGGAAAGAGTACAGTGTCTAGGAGGAGAGGGTGGTCAACAATGCTGAGAGATCAGAAAGGAGGAATTTTGTTATTTACCTCCTTGGACAGAAGTAGAGAGAAAAATGCCTATGTGAGGCGGTGGGAAAGGGGAGGAAAGGAGTGGAGATCTCACCCTTTGTTATGACTTCTAGTTAAATGGGTTCTCCAGGATCGAGAGTTCACTCTAAATAGACCTTTCGCAGAATCAGAGAATGTCAGAGTTGGAAAGTACACCAGAGACCGTTTGATCCTTCCCATACCTCCACAGGAATGTCTTCCACAACACGCTCTGCAAGCAGTCGTTCAGCCTTTGTTTGACTTGTAGTAAGGCGGGATCCCAGCAGCTCCGGAGCCAGTCTGTTTTACTTTC